TTCTGCACAAAGCCAAACATCCATATTAAGCAGATGACGCAGGTACTGACAAAATTCCTGCTCAGAGGAGCCTGACAGCCTGATATCCGCTCGTCTCCCCGGGAAGACTTGATGGCTTTGACACAAACCATTCAGCAGTCTGAGAGATGAGCTGTTCGGGACCAGCGAAAGAGAGATGCAGGAGCCTGTGCTCCTCTTTGGCCTACTGCGGTTATACGAATACAGCGAGGGCCTTGGAAATTAATCAGGTTGTCGTTTGTTATCGTGGCAACAGCGGGCTAATTGAGACGTGGGCAAACTAAATCAATTAGGTGAATCCCCTGAGATAATAGGTATCATCGTCTCCTTCCGTAGCTAAATGTCATTGCTGCAGAAATCTCTGGACATCCTACTCATTTTTGGAAACTCAGCGGGCCACTTTAAAACACACACTGCAGCATCAGCTGTGGAGAAATCTCTCATTGGATTGGACCCTTTCGTGTCCCTATAAAACTGCATTTTAAAGATTAATTCCCAAATTCACATTTCGAGTCCAAGGACTCCAAAACGCATTCGATGTCTACATTTAGAATAAAATATCGCCATTAAAACGGGCGACAAAATGAAACGAGTATTAATAAATGAAACAATCGTTACCACACGAAACAATAATGAAATAGATGATTTCCCCATCAAAGCCTTACCTGGTTTACAACATCCATCTTGGCCGCTTACTCGCTGATAAGAGGATCAGAGGGGCGGGGGGAGGGAGGCGTCTCATCCGGAACAGCCCAGGGGAGGAAGACGCCCAGAAGGAAGAGCTGGAATGCGTCACGAACTGGACGAGCGTCGTGACGTCAAAATAATTAAGAGGATGTGGAGTAGCGACGAGCCGGGCACTCTATCCAATCGCGTCGTTGCTTTTATTCCGAGGGAGCAGAAACTACCCCGGGGGTGATGATGGAGAGAGGAGCGCATGGAGACTGTTCACGCTTTAGTGGAAGGAGTGGTTTAGAGGAGAACATCAAAAGGTCAATGAAGGTTTGTGAACAGATGCTAGTCATTAACAGTCAGCACGATCACCTGACATTATCAAAACAGCTGTTTGCTTGTTTTTTAATGTATATTTTCCCTTTAAAAGCCAAAACCTGCGAAGGAAGTTGGGGAAAGTTCACCGAGAGTTCTGGAAGATGAGGATGGAATCAGAAATAGAGTGCTAGTGAGGCCAGGTGGGTTTGGCTCCTTGTTTTCACCAGAAATGTCTCTGAGCATTTTATTGCCAAACATCGGGAGCTGCAACTGTAGTTGCTGCTCCTGTATAATGATAATGACCTATCGTCGTTATGCAAAGTAACTGTGAAATAACCGAAATGAGATGCAAAATATTAAGATCAATATGACATCCAAAAAAGCCTTTAATCACAAAAGCAGACAAACAGTGCCTTCACAAAGTCACTGCAATTTTTGTGAAAAAAAGCAAACGTTTCCCTGTTGTCTAAAACTATGCATTAAAATGCACACTGAAAAAGTAAACGTTAGGACATGTAGAGGGTTGGCGTGACAGAAGAAGAGGCTCGAGACAGGATGAGATGGAGATGAATGATCCGATTTGCGACCCCTAAAGGGAACAGATAGAGAAAGAGAAAGCTCAAAAGCAAAAGTCTGTAGGTGCTTATAATTCACACTTGTTTAAAAATATTTCTGGTCACATTCACATCAAACGGTGAAGTAAACAGCACACGGAAAATCCATTTTCACATCTTTATGTTTGAATGACTAGATGGGAAGAGGAAGTGTATGAAAGTGCTGAAAATGCAAATTCAAACCCCTTCTTTTTATTAAAAAATGTGATGTACTGCTGGCATGTCAAAATTGTACTTACTTCCCACCATGTGACACCTGGGGTAGATTAAAGAGGGCCTTATTCTCTGACATATATAGTATAATACTATAACTGTGGATGCTATAACTGTGGATGCTCATATTAAAAATGTTAAGCATAGAAACGAGTAATCCCTGCTACATATCCTCCAGCTTAGACAGTTTTCTTCTTTGTATGGTGTTAATGAGAGGGGATGTCATTAATCCAGTCATCTGGCCACCTGCTATTAAAATCTACTAATAGGGAGGGGCGACCAATCAGAAGAAATGTTTCAAGGGAGGAGGAGTGGAGCTAAATTCCTTGTTTTAGTCAGTAAATTAACTGAAGGGGATGCATGAAGTATAAGATATATGTAGAATAGTTTGAACGACGAGTTATGCAAAGCTACTTCGGTACAGTCCAGAAATAAAAACTGAAATTTGGAAATGCAGAAGGTAGCTTTCCTTAAAGGGTACATCATACAGGGTTTTAATGTTGCTGTGCAGAGATAATCCAACCTCTTTGTCTTGAAAGTCTTTAAGAAAGCTGTTATGTGACAAGAAACCACTTCTCCAATTGTTTGCATCAGAATGGCATGTTTAAAGATTTTAAGCCAGCCCTAAAGCTCTGGTCAGACAACCTTCTCATAGTGTTAGATGATCGACTCGTCCTCTTTTTGCTCGTATTGTTAGATCTTAGAGGTGGGTTTGACACGACTGATTGCAAAAGCTGGAGCATATTATTTGGATTAAAGGCACCACACTCTTGTTTATATCAGTAACACACACGATCATGGAGTTCACCTTCTCAATGCTGTAGAGATAAAACTTGGCTTATGTTAGTACCATTTTAAAAGGCCACCAAAATAACATGGCCCGTTGTACCAGGCGTTCTTTGTAATTCTGGTCAGTGAATTTTTGTATTTTATTCTCCTCTTAATTTGCACTGACTTGCAGATATCTGTGTCTGTGCTTTGCACTTATATAATTTATGGATGCAGCTTTCTAATGAAGCTTGCATAACTCTCATCCGAATATGGCGACTGCTTACTCCAAAAACAGAACATAGCATTTACCAAAAGGCTAACATTTAGACTGCCAAAACCAGGGGTGAATATGATGGTGGCTGCATCCATCTTTAATGTACAATACAATCTATTGGATGACACTGACAACAGTTAAGGCATGTCTTGAAACACATTCTGAGCATATTTTTTCAATTCAAAGACAGGTTAAGTTTTTGTATGTGGGCAGTACTACTGTATGTCATGGTCCTGGGTACTCTGACCCAGTGTTTTGAGTTTTCCTGTGTTTTTTTTTGCCATTTTTGTTTAAGCTCACTTCTTGTTTTAAAGGTTAATTCTATGTTGCATAGGGTGTTCTGTTAAGTTTTGTTTATTAGATCCCCCCGTTGTTTCTTTTCCCTCTGTCTCCCTCAGTGTATCTGTTTATTTAATTGTGAGTTCTTGTGTCCCCGTGTGTTCCCACATCCCTTATCTTTCTGTGTATTTATGCATCTCCCTCAGTTCCATGGCTGTGTTCCTCTCCCTGTGTTTCATGTTATCATTAGTATTTTCCCAGTATAGTTTTGTCTTGTTTACACTTTAAAGTTCTGATGCTGGTCTATAAAGCTCTGAATGGTTTAGGACCAAAATACATCAGTGACCTCCTGACCCAGTATGAACCTTCCAGATCCCTCAGGTCATCTGGATCCGTTTTTATTATCAGTTCCCAGAGTCAGAACCAGACACGGAGAAGCTGCATTCAGCTTTTATGCTCCATATATCTGGAACAAACTCCCAGAAAGCCTCAGATCAGCTGAAACGCTCAGTTTATTTAAATCCAGGTTGAAGACTCACCTATTCTCAGCTGCATTTGAATAAAGCACCAAATCCGCACTGTTTTACTTTTAAGCTTACATTTCAAAACTTAAAATTTTAACTACTGATTTTATCTATTGTTCCCTTTTTTTCTTTTTCTTTTTAAATCATGCTTTTTAATTGTTTCTGTTTTTTAATGTCTCTGTAAAGCACTTTGAATCACCTTGCTGTTGAATTGTGCTATATAAATAAACTTGCCTTGCCTTGTTTTTGCATTCAGCAAATAAAGCTGGTTTTTGAGTCCTGTTTCCGAGATTTTGCATTTGGGTCCTTCTCCTGCCTGCACACAGCCGTTTCATGACACATGTAGTCTGAGATCAAAGAGCTCTATTGAGATAATACGAGGTCTTCAAGATGTGATGGATCCTGATGATTCAAGATCTTATGTAGGAGGAGAAAATTTTTAAATTCAATTCTGGATTTAAAAGAACCAGTGAAAAGAATGTCATATGGGAGAATTATGGTCAGTGTTAGTGCTGTTTAACAACTCTTCTGGAAATTTTGGAAATAAAAGCAAGGTTGGAAAGGGCGCTGGATCAAGTAAAACCTTTTAAAGTATTGTCCTATTGCAGAAACCTTAAAACTGAAACGGAAAATTTACCGTGAGAATTCGTCACGATGAAGGTATCATTCCCTCTGTGATTCAAAGCCTTTAATAAGGAATACTTAACCAACCTTAACGCATCCTGTAGTTACATTGCTATAAGCCTTGGATACAAAAAAAACCCTCCCGTGATAAGCTCCTGTCTTCTCCTTGCTTTCACTCTCTGTGTATTTCATAGACACTGTGACTCTCTGTGACATAGACTCTCTCAGGGTTTTGCTTTTTTCGTAATCCAATCTATATATTTTTATTTCCCGTCCCTTTCCAAATACTAGCAGCTAACCTGAATAAAACAGCAGCGCAGGCTCTGATCAAGAGCACAGACAGAAAAAGGAAATGTAAAACGGTAAAGCTGTACCTAAACAAACCAAAGTAAAAGCTTTCTACTTAACACAAAATGGATTTTACACAGATATTTGATGTGCTACTACAATAGCACCGAATAACAAGCATCCATGGCTCATAGCTTTGCATGTTTCTTTTCTTTAAAAGGGGAAGTGAAACCCAGATGTTACCCATCTGCCGGTCCATTAATGTCTGATTATATAATTCGCTGCTTTAATTTTGTTGTGGGTTTTCAGTATGTGCTTTTAAACAAATACAAAGAGCCTTTAAGACCGTGTGCAACGTTTGGAACGAGATCCCATCTGCAAAACAAAAATTAACGAATGTTTGAGAAAACATTTTATTTTATTTGTGCACAGTGGATAGCCACGCAACCGTTCAGTCACAATGAATCCAAAACATAATTTGGACATTTCCGCCACAAGTTTGCATCGTGCATCTTAGAGGATATTCATTATATTTAAATATTTCTCTAAAGAAGCTAATGCTGTTGGAAACTCACAGTCTTACTCAGTTGTATCAAGAGTAAAGAAAAGTATTTGATCTACATGTGTAGATTTAAAACATTCTTATTTCAGAGTCTAGTTTCCCTGATTGTAGCTGAACACACGTGTATAAGGTGACCACAGTTCAAGTAGGGTACAAAACGAGAGCACAATGCAGAAAATGAACTTGCGTCCTGCTGACTCTTCTGCTGCAATCAAAATTTTTGTCACAAATTGACACGTACACTTAAAATCAAAGTGTGTTTTTGGCATTCACAAACAAAAGCACATCATACCCAACATGATAGAAATCTCATATGTGGGATGTTTCTTTTTGTTTTCAAGAGAGATTTAAACACACACACACACAAAAGATTTTCTTCTCCCTTTTTTTTTTTTTAAGAAAAAACAAACTTCACATCTCAGTTTCTCACACATTTCTCTTACAGTTCAACTGATCTCAGTAAGAAATCACACAGTTCATTTCATCAGCCAGCTCTTCCTCAAATCGAGAAATCGACTGAGTGGCTCCACGCGCTATCAAGTCAGCAGCTGCGTTCTCCATTTCATCCAGGCTCATGCGGCAAGCTTCAGCAATCTCCCGCTTAGCAAAGTTCACAAACTTCGGGTCCCTTGCATAGACACCGAGACCCTCAGAGATCAAGATCTGTGGTTGGTGACAGAAAGAGTATAGAAGCAATCATTTAAGACAGGTTCGTGCTGTCAGCTGCTCACGTCCAATCTAAAGTTGAGCAAATATTCAAATAAATGAGCAGGATTACATTTCAGGGAGGCGATAGTGCAAAGAGTTGCTTTAGTCATTCATCCTGTTCATGGTTAGATCTGTTCCTAAAAGGATTTTTAATATGATGGATAACAGTTTTGCCATCCTTTTTACTGGGCAAGAATATCCCCATGAGGTTTCAAAAGTTCCAATCAGTCAAAACAGGTGAATATCAGCCTTAAAGCCTCACTAAATCAAGTTACAAAGGGTCACGGGAATTTAAAATACACCAAGTTCTACATAATAGTGGGTGTAGGAGGTTTCACCTTTACGAAAATCTCAAAAACTACTTACCGACTCCACCAGACTGTCCGCACTGCCTTTGCTTATGAAGCCCTGGTTCACAGGGGGTGGCATTCTTACACTGGTGAACGTCCTGGTTTGACCGGGGTTCCAGCCGGGGCGCCTTCCTGCAGGAAGGCTGGCAGAACCGTCATTCCACAGCGGTTGACTGCTACCTGTGGCTTCATCCATCAAGATCATAGGAGTGTAGATGAGCTTGCCCTTGCGTGCCGATGGGGCAATTATCCCTGGAACAGGAGTGGCACCAGCTGCTGCCGTGTTCGCCCAGGAGGTGGACGACATGGAGGACACACTGCTGGGCCGGGACTCCAGGCTGTGCTGGTTCTGACAGAGGAGAGCAAAAGTAGAGCCAGTAAATCCAGATCAGAGAGGCTGCTCTCTTGTCATTTATTCATATCATTATGAGTTTAAGCTAGAAATGAGTAGGAAAACTAGCAGGCTGAGTGTGTATGCGTGTCACTGTTTTACCTGCAAACGTGATCTAGTTGGAGATGTGTGGCCTTGATACATTCCTGGGATGGGGAGGTTATCTACGCTGCTCTGTGGTCTCAGACACTGGAAATTAAAGGCGGGTTTATGACCTGAAACAGAAAGCAGGAAGATATTGCAAGACTAGCACCGTGTGTGGAGAGAGTTTGTATTAGCAGGCATCAGTTATAGTTCACATGCCCAATAAAACCCCTCAGAAAAGTTCCGTTTATAAAGTAAAATAAAAGTAATATTTGATAAATTCACTTGACAGATTATTTAAACACCAAAAACATTATCATTATATTTGAATTTTAAATTTCTTCTGATTGGCAACGTCCAAAAATATACAACCACCTCTGTCTATCAGTACTCTTGAAGAATGGAAGAGAAGGAGGAAAACCTTTTGGAATAGCAGGAAGTAACCTTCTCCTAACAAACTGGGCACCGCTGTTCTCATTGGTAGTGTAGCCGTTTCCAGTGTAATCGATGCTGCTGCCGTTTTCATGGCCGCCGCTCATTGTGCTTCCGTTCCCGTTGGCGGTCATGACGCCGTTTCCATTCTCACTGTATCTTGGATATCCATTCTCATTATATTCATTTGTGGTGTAGGGAGTGGGACTCGTGGCAGCACTCCCTCCATTCATGTTGATGTCAGTGTAATCATTGCTGACGAAGCCACTGGTACCATTAGAGTCATACGGTATTTCGCCAAGGCTGCTGCCTCTTTCCAGACTCTGGCCATTGTAGCCTGCATCAGTTGGTACTGGGGAAACAGCCTCTGGATACATATACCTGCACGACCAAAGAGTAAAAGTGCTAATTAGTGAGCTCTAGAGGTGCTGGTGGGTTGAATCCTCTACCCCAGTCTTGTTTCCAGTCTTAATGCTAGGCTGTTCAATCTTGTCTTCAGTTGTTTGGTTTTTTTAATCCATCTATTTCCCAAATTGTTTTTTTTTAATGAATAACCTAATAAACCTACATCTATTGCTTGACCTTCTTGATTATTCCTTACCGGTCTACTGATGCCAGACTTGCAGCATCTCCTTCACTCAAGTACACCTGCTCGGATACTTCCTCTGTAGCTTTGACTTCTTCAACTAAAATCTCAGGTGGAGGTGGAGGAGGAAGAGGCGATTCACTGATGGAGTCCGCCCTGTTTGTTAAGAGTACAAGTAAGTTAGAAAACTCCTTGGTATAAAATAGAAGGAATACGTGTGAGTACCAATGTGAGAATTCACGTATGACGCAGTAACGTACCTCACTGGGAGGTGTTCTGACCTCACAGGCTGCTCTGTTACCACGCTGACACCTGCCAGCTCTGATCCCGGCCTCTGGTGTTCCTTCAAGCCCGTCACCTGCTCTGTGATCACACCTCCGTTGGAGATCTTGGGCTCTGGTTCCATGATCACAGTCGTCTGCTCTACCAGCGTGTCCAGAGGCGGCATCGGTGTGCTGGAGGGAGTGGGGGTTGCTGACGTTTCAGGCCCACTCTCGAATATGTCATCGCCTCCACCTTCCTCGTCCTCCAGATCAGAAGCCATTGCCAGACGCATCTCTGGAGCCAGATCCTGCAGTGTCCGCAGCCCTTGCTACAAACATATCCATAAACTGAAGTCAGCCTACATTCAAAAATGAGTTTAATGCAAAGTTAAGCACCTGAAGATGGACGAAAAGATTTTTTATTTTCATAATTATAAATTTTTTATTATAAAAAAGTATATTTGATCGTAAGTTGAACTTAACCTTTCAAATCTCAGTTTAAGACTCGCATGAAAAAGATGATTTTAACTCGGAAAGCAAACATGGTTCAAGATGCAATTAGAATGTATGTGCATGAGTTTTTGTATTTTACATTTTCTATTCTTTTACTTTGAGCATTTAGGTTATTTCCTTTTATTTTCTGTCAGTTGCCTGTTGGACTTCTGCCTCACTGAAATAAAGATTTGTTTTGTTTATTACTCCTCTTTTAGGTCAGCATTTGGGTCCACATTCACACACAGACATGACCGTATGATTTTATTTTGCATCGAGTCAATGACCAAGTTGTGTCAAACATGGGATCTTTGAGTTGGATAGTTTATATTACCTGTAGAGAAGCTGCTTTGTCCTTCCTTTTGGATTTCCTCTCCCTTTCTTTTCTTTTCCGGAATTTTTTAAAGTAGTCTTGAATCAAGAAGCTGGCATAAACCTTTCCACAAGTCACCTCATCTCCTGAAAGAAGGTAATGTTACACAAACATTACTTTGGATTATAAGACTTATATGAATAAATGTACATATTTGGCATCATCAGGTACACAATATGAAAGAAAAGAGGCTTGATTTAATATTCAGTGTGTTTTAGGTTTTCTTTGCTTTTCATTATGTTGGAAAGCAGTGCAATTTTGTGGTATACCTCTAGGGGGAGGAATGACTTCATCAATGAGTTTGGGTTTAGTGCGCTTCCAGAGCTTCTTGATAATCACCTTCAGCTCTTCATTCTGCTTGTCGATGGGACCTGAGTGGGACACAAACAACAGATCCTTTAATGTAAACAGCACTATCATTAAAAGAGTGAGGTAATCTCATACACAAATAATGAGCTTCTGTGTTTTTGTTTATATGCAGCAGGTCAAACCTTCAGTCTTAATCTTCAGTGAGGTTCGCACGAGAGCAAACAGAGTAGCGTTGAAGGTGACTGTGCCATCAGGATGCAGGGGAACATTCATGGCAACCAGTCTCTGCAAACACAAGTTGAGGCAGAAGAAGTCAGATGCGTATCTTTAGTTTGTTCATTAAATCCGCAGGAGCAAATGTGTTTTTGCTCACTTTGCAAGCAACACGATGAGGACATAATTTTCCGAAACCAAGAGGCGGCTGAATCCTGCGCAGCATAGTGACGACATCGATGTGTTTTATACGACCGCTGTAGGAGAGAGATGGACGCAGAGCTGGTGAGACAGATGTAAAACAAAGTATGCAAGGACAGAAAAAATGCACAAGTTGTGGAGAATGATACTAAAATGATTCTCACGTGGCCTCTGGATCATAGTCAGACCAAACTCTCTTAAACTCGTCCAGATGGTGAGTGCCGAGTACGGTCCAGTCTCTTGTCAGGTATTCAAAGTTGTCCATGATGACAGCAATGAACAAGTTGATAATCTGAGAGAGAAAGATAACAGCATGTGTTTTACATAAATAAATCTATTATTGAAAAAAGTGAGAATAGGGATCCAGAAAGTCCATTATAATATAATCCGGTAGTATAGTGTAAAAATGATAAAAGAACATTTAGGAAACATTTTAAGTAAATTTAGTAAATAAAAGTAGTGACATTACATTTTGAATTATTGTTGCTTCTAAATTTTGTGTAAAGTCACAACAGGCAAGTCAGGCCACCACAGTTCTGTGAACATATTAAAAAACCCAACAGCGCACAGAGGTCCTGATCTACGATAGCTGCCAGGAGGGTCTTTGTGGGTTTCTGCTAGAGGCCGAAAACCACATACGGATTGATTTTTGTCAGCTGTCCACAAAGGAAGAAAACATAAAGAAGGACAAATGAACAGAAAAACTGTAACCCTGCTATAAATCAAACCGCCTAAACCAGGGGCAGGGGAACTCCAGGCCACAAGGGCCAGTGTCCTGCAGCTTTTAGATGTTTCCTTGATCTAACACAGCTGATTAATATGGCTAAATTACCTCCTCCACATGCCTTGACATTTTCCAGAGGCCTGGTAATGAAATAATCATTTGATTTAGGTGTGTTGACCCAGGGTGAGATCTAAAACCTGCAGGACACCGGCTCTTGAGGCCTGGAGTTGGACACCCCTGGCCCAAACTGAGAAAACTGTCCAGTGGAACAGTGGAAGAGATTAAAGGCCAACGTCTGTCATAGGTAAATATTATAAATCGCATGGATTAGATTGGGTTCCATAGCAAGATTGAAATTGTCTATGTATTGGATGATTACTTTTGATATTGTAACATTTCAGTGAAAGTTCTTGGTGGACTAGGATTATATTTTAGGTCAGGGGTAGGAAACTCCAGGCCTCAAGAGCCGGTGTCCTGCAGGTTTTAGATATCATCCTGGGTCAACACACCTAAATCAAATGATTAGTTCATTACCAGGCCTCTGGAAAATGTCAAGGCATGTGGAGGAGGTAATTTAGCCATTTTAAATCAACTGTGTTGGATCAAGGACACATCTAAAACCTGCAGGACACTGGCTCTCGAGGCCTGGAGTTCCCTGCCCCTGTCTGAATCATATATGATACTGCTGATAATTCTAAGCAGGTAATCTAGAACAGATTATACTCTGCTGTATTTTCTGCGGTTTTTACCATTTCCACTGCAGGAACGCAGCAACTTAATAAAGTATGAGATCCTACATGGACCCTCCTCTGCCTGCTCTCTAGGGCAAACGCCACCTTCTTTCGACACATTTAATGTTTAAAAATAGCACTATGGTCAAAGTACTGTTACCAAAATATTTGTGCCCTTTTAAATCGGGATTTTGTGGTTTGAGTGTGCTGCCTGGATTAATAAAATCCGTGGATGCGAGTTGTCTGATGAGCTGGGAATTGGAGAAGACAGAGTAAGCTTTTAAACCTGCTAGTACGCTGCAGCTGTAATACTATGCTGTCTGCTTTCATCTAACTTTGATTCCTCCTGACCTGATATACTATAAAACACGAGTTAGAATTAATTATACCAACATTTCTTTTAGAGACAGGAGGTAGAGTGTTTAGTTATATCAAAAGAAAGGACATGTTTTACCACAAACAAGATGAACGAAGGGATTTTAAAAAAATGATCCCTAATTTTCGGTGGCTTTGCTTACCAGGTAAGCACATAGCATGAAGAAGCTGATGAAGTAAAGGTAGGCCAAGTTGTTACCGCAGGTGAACTCTTCACCAGGTTCAACGTCAGCTTCTGGGTCACAGCGTCTGCCAGGCAAAGCGGCCAACATGATCTCTTGCCACTGCTCTCCAGTGGCACACCTACAAGGAAAAACAGCAGCATTATCACTGTTCCTTTACACTGTTTTAGACCTTCTAGATGTTAGAAAAGATGCATGAAAGTTTCACACAAGAAGCACTTTTTGTTTGAGGAAAAAGTCGTGTTAATGCAGCACAGTAACTTCTGATTCTGAGTAAGACTATAATAAAGAAATGTATTATCAGAAGAGAGAAGAAAGCCATGGTCTGTAGATAAACGATGGACATAGCTTCCATGCCATCACCAGTTGTTTCTTAGACTGTGCATTTTGAAGTTTCGGCATTTATGTTTTGTCTGCAAAAACAAAGATATAAAATACGGATGACTCAGCTTTCAGGTCTGAAAAGTAAAGCTGTCTTTGAAGTGCGTTAAATGTGCATTCTTGCTAATGAGCAGCAGGGAGCGATACCTCTGGTTGCACAAAGAAACTGCCCCGTATTAGTTAGAAAACAGGATGTTCATCATGTAAATTATGATCCTCATTAAAGTGAAAAAGAAAGATAAAGTAAGACACATTGTGTCACATTTTTATTTTTTATTTAAAGTGCTCCAGAAAGCACCTATACTACAAGCAGTGCTGAGAGGTTCAGTCCACCGATCCAGTGGTTACTGAAGGTGGTAAGCCTTAACACAAAACACTTTTTAAGAGGCCCCCTTAAGAGTCTTTATGAAGGAGTTTCATTGCCAAAAACAGTTTTCATTACAAGGCTGTAACTATTAACATAATTTAATATCTCTGGTAGCCGGCCTCCAGTGGCCATTGGATGAAGTAAAGCTTCATTTTTCAACAATTCAGCTTTGTCCCTTTAATTTTGCCCCTTCCTGGGGGCTAAAAAGACTCACCTAAAAAGTACCAGAACAGCCATAAAGAAAGTCTGGAAGTTGCAGTTTCTGTTGATGTGTGTGTCCTCATCAACAGCCACCTTCCCAAACATCTACAAGAGAAAAAAAAACAGTCATTAAAACCAGAGACTTTTTATTATTATAGACTTATAAACTGGGATGCAGCCTGTATGATGTAATGGTAATGTTTTGTTTATCATCGGATACCTGTTTGATTAATTGCAATGAGTGAAACAGCCAAAATTTAAACCTACGTTCATAACAAAGACTCACCTGCATGCCGATCACAGCATAGATAAAGAAGATCATGGCAATGAGGAGGCCGACGTAAGGTAAAGCCTGAGCAGATAAAAGTCGAGAGCAAAGTTACATAAAAGTTGTCTACGGGTGTCACAAGAAATTGTTTAATCCTTTTGTTATTTCTGTGCTGCTACTGACCTGGAGGGACTTGACAAAAGTCCAGAGAAGAGTCCGAATGCCTTCTCCTTTACTGAGGAGTTTGACCAACCTCAAGACTCGGAAAAGACGGAAAAATGTGATGGACACTTTTCCACTTTCACCTTTCCCGGGACCCTAGAAAGAATAACGGCAGACAGAAATAGTTAAATATCTGAGACTGAAAAAGCAAATATGTCATCAGGAGTGTGAAACGTGTCCTGAAGGCCAGGACGGTTTATGTAAACGGTTAATTCTGGCCTGCTTGAAGCGCTTGTCAAGTGTAAAGACTGAAGATAAGAGCACCGTTTTTGGACTTTTCACAAGCCATTTGGATTGGAAATCCTTAAGGTGAATGTTCAAACTATTGATTTCCTCCAATCCAGAAGAGTTTCAAGGCTTTCTTCCTGACAAAGGCGTTACCCAAACCCTGAGATATCACAGAGAAATGCAGCCAAGGAGCAGCACAGAAGTGTTTAAGTTATGAGTAGAAAAGCTGAGACATGTTGTTCAAGTTGAGTTATTTTTCTCAAGGTTATTAGCTTATTAGCTTTTGTCCACCCAAAGTGTATTGCAGAAGAATTAAAAGGAGTACTTCAGCATTCAGCTCTTACCTCGCCATGACCGCCTCCGCCCTGCATCGTTTTGCATGTGGTGAACAACAGGCAGGCGATACCATGCAGGAGAAAAGAAATTAAAGCACAAATGATTTCATTTTCAGAGTAATACATATTTCAAGCCATGTAGAATTTCTTCCTCAAAAAATTGTAGAAAGGTTTATTTTATTATTTTTCATCGTGTAGTTCTTAATCATTTGTTTAGTTTATTGTTCACAAAAGTGCAGCTGACAATCCTGATGGCAGTAATAGTTTTCCTGCTCGCATCTGAATTATCTTCTGATTGTATTCCTACATAATAGCACCATAATAACCGACACCAAGCTGCTGAGATCCCTTTTAGCTCCTGCAGCTAAATACCAGCAAATCTTCAGGATAGTAAAAGGAAAGTTTCATCAAAATTGCACAGAAAATACTGGGACTGGCGTCACCCAGTGTGTTAACTGCTCACCTCGCCCGAATTGAGGTGAGCGATTGCTCACTGGATATTTTTTCTGTTTTAGACCATTCTCTGTAAACCTAGAGATGTTTGTGTGGGGAAATCCCAGTTCTCCACCAACAACCATGCCTTGTTCAAAGTCATTTAAATCACCTTTCTTCTCCACTCTGATGCTCTTTCTGAATTTCAACAGGTTATCTTGACTATCTCGAAATGCCTAATTTGACTCATTTATTGCATGACTAATTGTTGGCGTGTGATTGGCTGATTAGATATTTGGGTAGATAAGGAAGGTAGCTGGTGATATTTTGTTGCTGTGTGAACAAACTTACGCTGAATTCAGAAACTGCAATGTCCAACACACTTCCCACGACGATAAGTGCATCAAATGAATTCCAAGGATCGATGAAATAGTGCTGCAGAGATTAAACAAGCAAAGTGAGAGTGATCGAGACAGCAGACAGTGAGTGGAGTTGTGCCAAATATCATTGTCTGATGAAAAAGAGTGAAACCTTACATGTGCCCGCAGAGCCATTAGCTTGATAATCATCTCTATAGTGAAAACCACAGTGAAGATCATGTTGAGGATGTCCATAATGGAGGTGAATAGTTTTGACTGCTCATAATGCTGAGAAAAAAAACAACACAAAAATTCACATCACAACCCTGAATCAATATTTTAGTATTTTATCTGAGTGAAAACTGACTGACATTGTACCTGAACAGCCAGAGTAAGGGTGTTTCCCAGAATCAGTACAAACATGACGTACTCAAACTGGCTGGAGTTGATGATTTTCCAGAATTTGAGCTGGGATGGGTTTTTGGGAATGTAAATCTTAATTGGTTGAGCTTTCAATGCATAATACACGCACTGACGCTGTGAGGAGGGAGAGGATAGAAATGATTGCGTCTGAAAGAATACTATTACACTGAAGTCAAAACTACAGTTTTTAAATGATAACTAACCTGATTTTTATTGAGTTCGCAGTTTTTGAACTCAGCCTCTCCTTGCTCTCGAAATGTAATGATGACAAAACCCACAAATATGTTCATCATGAAGAAGGCGATGATGATGATGTAGATGATGAAAAAGATGGAGATTTCTACTCTGTAGTTGTAAATGGGGCCTCGATTTATGGCGTTGGCATCGACGGCCCGGTACAGAAGCCTTTAGGCAAAAATAAAATAAAAGAGACAAGGCGAGTGACACACAGGATTCCTGATACATTGAGTCATTTAATCATTGATATAAGATTCCTAAACTTATGTTATTATTTGGAAATTCCATTAAAAAAGCCATGAAAAGGTGATTGAAAAGGTGATATAGTTTCATGTATGTATTTCCTCTCTGTGCCGTCACAAAAGAGCATGTCATTTCAGTAGCAATATCTTTACATAAGTAATAAAGAATAATCTCATAAGGCAGGCTGTAAAACAACGGTCCCAGTGATGTTGTAGCATAGCCCTCAGACACACAAGAAACACAGTATTTCTGTTGTCTGCTTAAAATGGGGCAGTTCAAGCTTTGGCATAGCCACACAATCATGAAATGTCAATTCAAATTCTATATTCATCATTATTTGTGTGATGTGTAAACAATTTATGAAACAAATAATTGCTTGGTGAATATTTAGATGGATATATTTAGAGAACAATGAAATCAGGTCTACAGTCACAATGACAAGTTTTTGGCAGCGACACATTTTGTGTTTCATATACTTTCCTATTTTAACTTTGATTATTTTTTATTGTTGAGCACAGATGTTTGATGTGATTAAGATATGGACATTTTAATTTAATGATCTTTGAGCCTCTTACGTCTCATTTTTGCCTTGTGAAAAGTGCTATATCATGCTGGAAATTTAACAGATTGTCACCAAACTGCTTCTGGATCATTAAAAGCTGGTCTTTGAGTACATGGTAAGTATGGGCAGTGCTTAAAAAGCAGAGAGACAAACAGAACCCCAAAAACTGTGATCAATTTTGAGCACTTTTAAGGCAGGACTGGATTTTGATTAGTCTAAATATTGAGTCTTTGCATGGCTTTAATTTATTGACCAATAAAAGTCTTGATGTCATGATGGTTCTTCACTGTTTCATGGAAACATGTCTTGGAGCAGCTGTGACCATATGATTCTCTCTGGGGTTAATAAAATATTCTTATTCCGATTCTAAAAATAATCTAAACAAAAAGTGAAGCAGCAAAGTGTATGAAACATAAACATTTGTGCCACTGATAAAACTTTAAGCCACGACTGTAGTGCTCTGAAGGCCGTTTTCACTTAATCTTCAGCTAAAAATAGTCCCTACAACTGCTCTGTTACTTCCTGTTTTAGCAATATTTTCCAAAATAAAGAAAATAACAAAATGCTAAGTTGTTCAATAAGCTTCTAAGAAATAAACTGAAGCTCCCAAGGAATGACACAGATAGTTTAGAGAGGTAATGGACTTAAAATGTAGAATTAATACTCACTGCGGCCAACCTTCAAATGTTGACACAGTGAATAAAGCCAACATTCCCATTAGCACATTATCAAAGTTGAAATCGCTGTTCTCCCAGATGCGTTCCCTGACCATGGGGTGATTCATATCTCCATCCTTATACACCACAAATGTGCCTCTAAAATTAGATGCACGCACATCTTTTAATAAACAGCGCGATAAGAAATTGTCAAGAGCTTTATGCCGTGTAAAAAAAAAACCACTGACTTGCACTCATCTGGAGTGTGTCTGGCTTCGTCAGTGCAGCTGTAGAATCTGCCCTATAACAGCAAACACAGAGAAGTTACACTGTTACAAACACTCACTCGACACACTCTATATATCTGCTGAGGGTGTTAAAATCTTATCATGCTGAAAGTGTGAACATGAACCTTGAAAAGCTGCACTCCAATACACGCAAACATGAACTGGAGGAGGGTTGTGACAATTAAGATGTTACCGATGGTGCGGATCGCCACAAACACGCACTGCACCACATTCTGTGAACATATAAACAGCAAAAACGATGTGACTAAAAGGCACCATGTTACACTTTTGTATGTACACTGAATAAATTGTACAGCACAAACAACAATATTGTCACAGTTGCTGCAGATTTGTCAGCTGCACATCCAAAGGTGCTCTGTTAGACTGAGAGCTGTTGACTGTGGAGGCCATTTGAGTTCAGTGAACTCATTGGCACGCTCAAGAAACCAGCTTGGCAATTCGAGCTTTGTGACATGGTGTGTTATCCTGCTCGAATTAGCCACTAGAAGACAGAAGACCACACTGTGGTCATAAAGGAATGGACATGATCAGAAACAAAATGCTGGTAGGCTGTGGCGTTTAAAGGATCCTCAGTTGCTACAAAGGGACCAAAAAGAATATCCCCCACACCTATACATCACCACCAGCAGCCTGAACCGTTGACACAAGAGACAATGGATCTATGCCTTCATGTTGTTTACACCTAATTCTGACCCCACCACTCAAAAGTCACAATCTTACAATCTTCTGTTATCCATTTTCGATGAGTTTGTGTGAACTATAATCTCAGTTTCCTGTTCTTAGCTGGCAGGAGTGGTAGCTCTGCTGCTGTAGCCCATCTGCTTCAAGGCTTGATGTGCTGACATGATCTTCTGCATACCTTGTTTATAACAAGTGGCTATTTGAATTTCCTGTTGTCTTCCTATTAGCTGGAAGCTGTCTGGCCATTCTCCTCTGACCTCTGACATCAACAAGACATTTTCAGCCAAAGAACTGCTACTCATTGGCCCCGTATTTTGGACCATCCTCACTGAACCCCAGAGATGAATCCCAGTCTATGAGCACCTTCTGAAATACTCAGACCAGCCTGTCTAACACCAACAATCATGTCATGTTCAAAGTAAATTCAATTTCCTTTCTTCTTCTGATGCTTAGTTGGAACTTTGGCAGTTTCTCTTCACCATGTCTACACTCCTAAATTAGTGTTTGCCATGTGAATGGCTGATTAGATATTTGTGTTAAGTGATCAGCGAGTTTACATGACACTGATTAAGTGTGACATGACATGAAAAGGAGGAGCTGAGGTCCAAGCGGCTTGCAGATGCAGCAGGCTGAACGGTGCACCCTTTATGAGATTTGCTAATTGGATACATAGAAGGGTATCAGCTGAGCCATCAGCCAATGCAGGTAGGCAGTGGGATCAGCTGTTATCAGCTTGGAGACCAAGCTTTACTTGGTGCTCTGTCTGAAATAATGCTTAAATGAATATAGGAATAAAACTAAATAGAATATAGCTGTTTACCTTTAATCCCTTGGCTCTGTTAATGGCTCGAAGAGGCCTGAGCACTCGAAGCACTCGGAGAATCTTCACCACAGAGATGGCACTTGAGCTGGAAGAAACAAGGAAAAGAGATTAGAAAAGAAAAGTTTGAGCTCATAAATTAAAAAAAGGTATCCTCAAATCTCTTCTCTTTGCTACAACTGCTCCTGATCTTTCTGCCAGAACCCAACAGAAGAACCACAGCTTGCGTTTCACGTGCATCTACTCACTGCAGAAAGAAGGACGTGAGTGACACACTGACAACCAGCAGGTCAAGAAGGTTGAAGGCATTTCTACAGAAGGAGCCAGTGTGCAGAAAAGCTCCATAAACAGTCATCTAAACATGAGTGAGAGGGTGAAGAAACAAAGTCAGAAACTCATTGCACTGCCATGTACTTCTGAGGTTTGCTAGTGCATAATTTTCTATTAGATTTGGTTCTTTGCAGCCACTGCAGCTGTTACCTTGAGTACGATCTCCACAGTGAAGACTGAAGTGAATACATAATCAGCATATCCCAGCACCTGAGGAAGACAGAAGCTAAATCAGTTCTCAGTCTAATGAAGCTAATATTATGAGTCAGTAAACATGTAGGGAATATGACAGGAAAAGCGAGTGAAGCTTGGCCTTACAGTGTTCCTGAATGAGTGGGATTTAATGGGATCCTCAGCAGCCAGTGAAATACTACTGAGGATGATGAAGATGAGGATGAAGTTGGTGAAGTAGGGGTGATGGATGAGGTTGTGGCAGGCGACTCGTAAACTGAAGAATGGAAAATGGGAAGGAAATCACGTGCACTGCATTGGTATTAGATTGTATCCCTTCAATCATTTCTCTGGTTCATGATTATTTAAAATTACCAGTTTTTCTTTCCGAGAATGAAGAAGGAGCTTCCATCGGGTATTGGTACAATCTTTTCTTTGGGTCCGGAGAAATCGGGCTTCAGAGGAGCCACTCCTACAATAAAGACACACTTATAATCACTGTTGGTCAAGATAGTTAATATCTCTCTGTTGGGTGTAATGTCGATCAAACTCACCCTCCAGGCCTTCAATGACTCTCAGCTCCTCATTTTCCTGCCAGTCGTCATCTTCGTTCTGCTCCCGAGACAAAATATCAGCGGTTACTTCGCTTTCTATAAACATTCAATATAATATATAAAAAGATTTCAAAGTTCCTTGCCCCTGCATCTTCATCCTCTTTCTCTTCATCTTCATCCCACTCTTCTTCATCTTCCTTTTTCTCTCTGAATAAATAAATGTTCATACACTACTGTTATGCTTCAAATAACATTTTATATTGAATACACTGACGCGTAAATGCAGCAGAAATTAAAAGAACGCGTCGCCGTTTCCTTAAGCATATCGAACCAAGCTGCAACCTACACAGCTGACCTAAACTCGGTGTGGGAGGGACAAAAACTGGGACGGGGGATGGTATGTGATAATGATACAAAAATGCATTATGACCAAACATCTACACTTTGGTCATGTCTGTTTAAAGGGTGTTGTTCCCAAAGTCATGGGATTTGCTCAGATGCAAATCTACGCCATGCTGCCATGTTGTTTTTAGAGAGAAGAAGCTTTCTCACAGCTTTCTGTATGTATTAACGCAGATCTGAACGCTCCAGACCAGGGGTAGGGAGCTTTAGTCCTCGAGAGCCGGTGTCCTGCAGGTTTTAGATCTCACCCTGGGTCACCACACCTTAGTTCATTACCAGGCCTCTGGAGAACTCCAAAAAATGTTGAGGAGGTAATTTAGCCATTTAAATCAGCTGTGTTGGATCAAGGACACATCTAAACCCTGCAGGACACCGGCTCTCGAGGCCTGGAGTTCCCTGCCCCTGCTCCAGACCAAACTACTAAGCTTTTTTAAAGAGGTGATGAGATTCGCTGATGCTGAGTTTCTTGAATCAGCTCCATCTGATTAACTTGTTGCTACTTATCCTCTTAATTGCTATGGAAGGAGTAGGGAAGAGCTGTGAAATATTTGTGTATATAGTCCCAGAGAGGGACATAATGCTGAGTTCACAAATTTGGGTGACTGTAGCTACATCCATCTGCAGTCTATATATCAAACTTACTCGACTTTTTTCTTCCCACCACCTCCTGCCAAGTTGTCCACAGCGATAGCCAAGAAGACATTAAGCAGGATGTCTGATCACAAAATTAAGGAATTGCTGTTTATTCCTTTTGAAATGAAAGACCAAATTTAATATTTAGACTGTTCTAGCTGATATCATTGCTGATAATCATTTGTTGAAAAGGATACAGTTACCACAGACAAAGAGGATGACAAAGTAAATGCACACCACCATGTTAGGGAATATTGGCCCTCCGTATGCCATAATGCCATCGTACATCACAGCGTTCCAGTCCTCTCCAGTGAGGATCTATAACAAAAGTCCATCCGAGATGAACAAGAAGGAATTCAACAGACAGAGGGAAGGAGATCTAATCAATACCATAAACAGAAATGCTAAGCAGTGAGCATAAGAGAGAGATGTTTGGAGATGTAAATCACCTGGAAACATGTGAGCAGCGCCTGAGGGAATGAGTCAAAGGTGCTTCTTTTCATCTGAGTCTCATCAAAGTTGAATTTGCCTCCAAACAACTGCATACCCAGCAGGGCGAAGATGATGAGGAAGAGGAAGAGCAGAAGCAGAAGGGAGCAGATAGCTTTCATAGAGTTGAGCAGTGAAGTGACCAGATCAGACAAGGCAGCCCAGTGCCTAAAAATGACAGGACATCATGACCACACATCAGGATGGGCAGATAGGGCATGGAAATTTGTAGTTCCCTTCTCACGTAAGGTTTAATCACTAATTACCGAGTCATCTTAAATATCCGGAGCAGTCGGATGCAGCGTAGCACCGATATGCCAATGGGCGGGATGACTTCGAATTCTACGAGGAGTGTCTCGAGAATACCGCCACACACAACAAAGCAATCAAAGCGATTGAACAGCGCCATAAAGTAGATCTGCAGACCAAAGGCGTACATCTTCATCAACATCTCCAGAGTGAAGAGAAGCAGCAGGATCTTATTGGCTCGCTCTGAGGGACAAAAAAAGTAACATTTGTTCTTATATCACTGACTCATTCAGAATCAAAGCATAGAGATGGTTGGGATCACAGGTTAGAATAAAAATGGGCGGGGCTATTTATTACCTTGCATTTCTGTGAGCCATTTCGGCTGCCCGTAATGCTCTGAAGCGCTGGCCACAGTGTTGAGAAACACCAACAGAAGCACCAACCAGTAGAAGTTAGTGGTCTTTACTGCAACGCGGCAGTTCTTCCTGAGAGTGTGATTCAGCTGGCACAGCTGGTCACTAAAGAAAGTATAGAATGAACATCTTTACTGCACGCATACTAGACATGTACAGTAAAAAAATATTAATATGACATAGCATAATCCCACCACTGGCCTCAGTACTGAGTGATCCCACTCTGGTCTACAAGTTCTAACCACTTACAGAATATTTAGGAGGGAAGAAATTTCGCAAGCTGACTTGTTTCATTGGTGTCATCCTTCTATAGTTTGAGCGTGGGCTCAAATTCAGCTCTTTAAAATGATCAATTTTTCAGTAAGTTTGTAAAGGCACACTGCATCATTAGTTGATTGATTTTATACACCTGTCATAATGGGACTGAAAACGCCTTAATTCAAAGATTTATAGTTTTTGTAGACTGCAGCCATAAATTAATTTATCTGGTTTGAGTTTTCTTTATTTCCAATTTGTGTTATTTTCACATCCTGTGTATAGTACTTTATGTTACCAGCTCTCATTTAGCCAAAATCTGTGTTTAGCATTTAGCGTGCAAGCAGGAAAACCGCCTGTGCCTGCCTGAGCTGTGATAAAATCATGATATCATATTTATTTTTCATAATTATTTTACCATTAACTTGAAAAGAAAGTCCTCTTTGTTTCAGGTGTGAAAAAATGCATCATTTATTTAAACCCACTGAGCCTAAAGTTAATTCAGTGAGAAATATATCTTCTTGTAGCGTAGTACGTCTTCTCTTATTCTTACCAGAAACTATTGGCCATCATCTTTGCCCTGTGAAAGAAATCAAACAAGAGAGGAACATTAATAAAATGACACCATCTCCTCTACAGAAAAAATGATTTAAAACAACGTTGACCTTTTTGTTTCCTTACATGAGAGACGCACAGAAGCCACTATCATCATCCAGGTATGCTATATCATCATCTGAGTCTGACTCTGCTGAATGCACACACACGTACTGGCTGTTAGAGATTATCACGTAAAATGAAAAATAATAACAGCAACAAGCAGCAGCTATCATACCTCCTCCATCCTCACTGTGCTTATACCAGCCAAACTTCTTCATCATCTTTTTCTTTGCAATTGCAGCACCTTCAAAGACACATAGAGGCAGATTAGTATGTACAAATGTAAGGATTTGAGAGTTTATATTTGAATGTAAATGTTCTCCTAACTAACGTTTGTTTCCTTCTTCATCCACATCCTCGGCCTCTATGAGCCAATCCATGTATCCTATCATGTCCTCCTCCATCTGCTTGCTCTCCTGCGCCTTCTGCAGCTCACCACGAGCGACGGCCTTCTCTCTTTCTTTAGAGAACTCTCTGTGCTCATAAATACAAGTACATACTTAATAGCAACAGGAAAACCTGTTAGGGACATATGCGGTAGATTCATTTTAAAGTATCGCCTTTGTTTCTCATTGCACAATTCACGCAAAGAAAGTTGAAACCTGCAGTGCAGGGACTACCCACCCGCTCAACACACCCAATACAAGGTTGATAATGAAAAATGATCCAAAGATGACCAGAGAAACAAAGTAAATCCATGGGATCTCATAGCCAATAGCATCATTCATCTGCACAGAGACAAAGGCATAAAGAATTGATAAGTATTGTCAATCAACAAAAGAAAACAAAAGAAAAAATGGAGCTTGAAAACTGTGATCTAGCAATATGTATGTGTACCCAGTAGAGTACATCTGTCCAACCCTCCATAGTGATGCACTGGAAAACTGTCAGCATGGCAAAGAAGATATTGTCAAAGTTTGTGATCCCTCCGTTGGGGCCCTCCCACTTGCCCCTGCACTCAGTCCCATTAGTGACACAGAAGCGGCCGTTCCCAGCAAACGCACAAGGTGTTGGGTCATCCTCCACCATGAGACCTGGAACAGGAAACAGCAAGAGACCAAAAGGCTTTGAGTCTAGAAATCAATGACATATGGAAAATCCACAGAATGACACAGACCTGTGCTCATAAGGTAGCACGTCTTGTGCATCCTCCCGATGAAAAGCTCCAAGCCGATGATGGCGTAGATTATGATGACAAACATGACCAGCATACCAATGTGGAGCAGGGGCACCATGGCTTTCATGATGGAGTTCAACACAATTTGTAAACCTGACAAGACAAACACCAACGTTAACCACAAAAAGGCAGAAAAAGAGGAGGAAGTTTAAATAACAAAATTAAATTTGACCTTTTAAGATTAAAATGAATTTTTGCTTTGATGAAGAATTTGTATAGATGTGAACAATAAAACAAAAAATGTTAAGAATACAATTAAAATGTATCTAAAAAGAACAAAATGTTGAAAATAATAAATAATAATAATAATACTAAAAATAAATAAGCTGCTTTGTCTTTTCCCCCCCTCAGTGCAAACCTTCACTTCATACTAATATCCCAACAAAACTAATTGTAGTTGACGCACTTGGCACTCCAGACACAAGTCGAAGTGGTCGTAACACTCTGAACGCTCGGAGAGCTTTGACATCCAGGCCTCCAGGTTTTCCTGCAGCATGGTGGGCCTCACCGGGCTTGTGATCTGTCATTGCTTCTGCCATCACACTGAACAACCTGCAGAGTCAGAAAATAGCCGCTGCATTTGACTTTTCGTACTAACAATACAACATTTGTGGATGCAAAATGTGACTTTATAAAGTACACAAAATACCCAACAATGACGATAATGAAATCAAGCAAGTTCCATCCGCTGCGTATGTAGGCGCTCGGGTGCATGACTAAGCCGTAGGCAAGAATTTTAGTGAAGGTCTCAATGGTGAAGATGACGAGAAAGACGTACTCAACTTGTTCCTGAGAACAAAAGAAAAGGTAACACGGGGATGGTTAAGTAAAATTGAAAAGACCTTTTACAGACGGAATGTGAAAAAAATGGACGAAAACTAAAGAAAATGTCAAGTTATTGTTAGGGCTGACATTTAGAGGCTGTTATTTCTTTTTATCACACATTGCAACTGGTTTTTACTCCTGCCTAATGCAAAAAACAACCTGTGCAGTCATTAAGAGCTGATACTGTTGGCTTTCTAACCTCTTAACCCACTGTCTAACACACGCATAAGTCTGCCAACAGATCCCTTTTCTGTAACCTTCAGCTTAAAGCTTCTAATCAGTGTCACTGTCACTGGGACTTTACCTCACGCTGACACTATAATCCAGGAACGAAGTGCTTTAATATAAGAAGATGGAGCTTGGAAAATCTGTAACCTCCCCCAAAATCTGATCCAAAAGTTATGATGATAACGGATATAGTTAAGTCTCCAATGAAGAATATCTTCAACTGTCCGCTCTGTGAAATCTAAAAAAGAGATCTACTATCGTCTATCCTGCTGCGACTGTGTGTCCACTACACATTTGACTAAACGGGTCTGAGCTCAAACTCAAATACCGAATCAGCTGTTATCTGTCTGCAAACAATGTCAGGATTAGGTCAAACAAAGCAAAATTATTGCATGACTTATTTTATAAATGCATTAAGTTATTATTTAGTCATAGGAATCTTTCATGATTAATAGAACTTGCTTACAATGTGACAAAAATATGACATTTGATTCACTGGAAAAAGAGATCAGAAAAAAAACAGAGTGCTGGAAGGAAAGAAGAGGCAGATGGTTGGTGTTTAGGTAAGTCATGATCCCAGATAGATGTCACGTCAATGAGGTTGTGGCACAACTTTTTCCACGCTAACGCATCACCATCCACCAGAACACCAGACATACTGACTGAACTAATAAAATAATGACTGATAATACATATCAGGCATGTGTGTCTCAGATAGATAATGGTCACGCTCACTGCACTACCACCAATATGGATGAATGAATGGAATCAGTCACTTATATTCGATCCAACAATGAAAATGATTCCAGGAAGGCAAAGGGAAATCTTCTTACTGAGAGTAAAGCTGTAGAAACCAGGAACAGAAAAGCATAAAAATTGTAAAAGAAGATCAGACATGTCATCACATGACAATACAAAGTGTTAACCTTGTAATATTTTCAAGGCTCGAGCCTCCTTTCTGAAGTCTGATGAAGGCAGCTCTATATGATCAAAGCACCAGCGTCTCTTTGACGTTTATAGATAACAAGACTTCCTCCATGTAAGATCTTTCATCAAACATTTTTTCCTCTTCACACGTCCTCCAACGATATGATCTCTTCGTCTATTTGACTTTCTGACACCACTGCCAAGTATCCACAGATGTGTCTCAAAAATGAATAAATCTGTCATGTATCCTGCAAATTAAGAAGTAAAGGTGAGGCACTGTTAAAGACGTAAATTCACTTTCCTTCCTTCCCTTCTGTGTAGTGTTACAGACCTTCTCCTTTCTACACTAAGTTGGGTTTCCCTTTGCAGGAGTCAGGATGCCTGAAGTATAGTCCTCCACACAGAGGTTAAATAACGAGCTATGCATTGTCTACCATTCCTCTTGCATGCCTTGCCCCTGCTTAAATGTCTAAATAAATACTTTCTCTGCAGACTAAGTCTAAATTGTGCACTTGTTGGAGTCTTCATTTAATAGTAAGGTTTTAGACTTCTGCATGGCTACATCTCTTTTAAAGGCTCTCACCAGTTGCCCACAAAACTAATATGTCCTCGGGGACCTGTTTTCCTGGCCACTAAAGTAAAAACCTAGCAACTCAACAAGTGTCAGCGTGTGGGAACTGATGTGAACCAGAGTGGCTGG